TCTAAAAAAAAAAAAACAACACCCAAACCACTGCCATTGAGTTGATTCCAACTCATAATAATCCTATAAGACAGAGTAGCATTGCCTCATAGGGTTTCCAAGGCCTTATATTTCTACAAAAGCAGATTACCACATCTATCTCTCCCCCACCCCACAGAGTGGTTGGTGGGTTCAAACCACTGACCTTTTGGTAAACAGCCAAATGCTTTAACTACAATGCCACCAGAGCTCCTCAGCCAAGTCTGGTTACTGTTAAGTCATGTTAGCCATAAGCAGAACTCCCAAAATTATGGTCACTTTAAGGATGAGGCCTGGAGAGGTTAAGTAATTTGCCCAAGGTCACCCAGCAGTAATCAAGAGAGCTGGGGCTCTAACTCACAGCTTTTTGATTCCAGAATCCCAGTTTTCAACCACTATACTGCCTTCTAAGGAACTCTGGTAGAGTAGTGGTTAAGGCATTTGGCTGTTAACCTAAAGGTTGGTGGTTCACACCCATCAGCTGCTTCATGGAAGAAAGATGAGACAGTCTGCTCCTATAAAGATTTATAGCTTTAGAAACTCAAGTCACTATGAGTTGGCATCCACTTGATGGCAGTAAGCTTGGTTTTTGGTATACAGCCTCCTTGTGAGCTCAGTCTTAAGTCCACATCTTTCTACAAAACGGTATGAGTTTTCAATTGGCATTACATCCTACTTTGGTGGGTAGTGACTGGGGTCTTAAAAGCTTGTAAGTGGCCACCTAAGATACCAACAGTTGGTCTCTCCTCATCCAGAGCAAAGAAGAATGAAACAAACCAAGACAAATGGAAACAACTGGTCCATGGGACTAGTGGACCATACGAACCTCAGCCTACATGACCATGAGGCCAGAAGAAATGGATGGTACCTGGCTACCACTGTCAACCACTCAGAAAGGGATCAGTGTAGGAGATCAAGGATAGAGTGGGAGAAAGATGTAGAACAAAACTCAAAACAGACCGGCTTACTGGTCTGATAGAGACTGGTGAAATCCCTCAGACTATGGCCCCTAGTCGTACTTCAGGCCTGGAATTGAACTCACTGCCGTGGCTTCCAGCCAAACCATAAACAGGTGTATAAAGTGAACATTTACACCAGGTAGGTACACTCCTTAGAGCAATCAACCATGGGAGATCAGAAGGTCAATATTTGCACAGGGAGATGGCTCAGAGGGCAGGAATGCATAGAAAAGAAGGACACAGGGATAAGGGAACTATAGGGAGGAAGTGGGAAGAGAGCTTTTACATTATGGGAATTGCAGTCAATATTATGAAACAAAATGTGTATGAACTGTTGTATGGAAAAGGAGATTGCTCTGTAAATGTTTACCCAAATCACAATTTAAAAGGGGGGGGGGGGCATGAGCTTTGTGACAGGCATTTCCCTTATGTTCCAGCTCCTTTGAAGCTTAAATGCAGGATGGAACCTATGCTCCAGAGACCTGAGGTAAATAATTTCCACACCAAAGGACTGACATGACGGCTGCAATGTTAATATTTGGCTCCTGCAGATAGGTCTTCCTTAGAAACTCAAGTAAAGAGATAAGCAGGGCCAGATGCTAAGGGACCAGCCTCCACCTTTTTGAGCCTCAAGTCTTATGTCCACTTCTCAGGATCATTGTGAAGATCAAAAGAGATAGGATAACGTATGTAAAGGGCTCATAGCCCTTACCACGAAGTACGTCCTCACTAAATGATAGCCATTGCCTGTTTGCTAAGGGAATTCTCATTCTATTAAAAAAGAAAAGAAACCCTCTGTCACTGCGTTGATTCTGACCCATACATCCCATAGGGTTTCCAAAGCTCTAACTCTTTACAGAAGCAGACTGCCACATGTTTCACCCCTGGAGCAGCAGATGGATTTGAACTGCTGGTTTTTTTGGTTAGTAGCCAAATGCTTTAACCACTGTGCCACCAGAGCTCCTTCTAATTCTATTAAAAACAAAAGAAAACAAAAAAAAACCTACTGCCATCTAGTCGATTCCAACTCATAGCAACCCTAGAGTAGAACTGCCCCACAGGGTTTCCAAGGCTGTAAATCTTTATGGAAGCTGATGGCCTTATCTTTCTCCCCCAGAGTGGCTGGTAGGTTTGAACTGCTGATCTTCGGTTAGCAGCCGAATACTCTAACCACTACACCACCAGAGCTCCTTTCTCATTCTATAGCCCCTGGGAAAATCCTTCCACTCTTGACATTTCATCTAAAAATATCATTTCACATTCCTTAAATGACCAAGGGCGCCTCTGCTTCTTCTTGCGCTCTCTTTCAGCTAGATAGCTGGTTGAAAGACTATAAAGTGAGGAAGTACAGTCTGCACTCAACAACCCACCCACTCCCAGCGCCTGAGGAGGGATGTAGCTGACACACCAGCACTGGGCATGTGCTCACCACCACGTCTCACTGCGGGTGGCACACCGGCAAACGCAGCAGGGCACTGATAGCTGACAGTCCCCAGGCAGCAGAGTGGAGTAAGAGTGCCTATTTGCACAGCCAATCTCCATGGCAACAAGAAAGCCAACAGCAAGACATTCCTTAGGCTGTGCCTACCCTGCGCTTCCAGGTGAGGGAAACCTTCCCACACTAAGCAGGAAGCAGATCCTGAAAACTCACAAAAGAAAATCTGGGGCCAAATGTACAAATATTTCAGACAAACCTACAGCTTATTCCAAATGGGTTTATAATTGGCCCAGTGAAATGTACAGATAATTTGACCAAGTCCATGTATTGTGTAAGAAGCCCTGGTGGTGCAGTGGTTAAGTGCTTGGCCGCTAATCGAGAGGTCGATGATTTGAACCAGGAGTCAAAACCTGGCAACCTGCCTCTGTAAAGATTACAGCTTTGGAAACCCTAGGGGCTATAGGGTTACTATGACTTGAATGCACTCGACTGCAACTGGTTTGGTTTTTGGTATGTATGGTTTAGTTGGTGGAAACTTGGGCAAAGGTTCAGATTCCTAGCCAATGAGAAAGCTTGCTGCTTAGCACCGGAATTACAGAGGCAGTAAACAGGGTATTAGCAGGAGCAGATTCCCCAACAAGCAAGGTAAACACGGGCTTCTTTGTGCTTACTTACTAATTTGTAGTGAACAATTTCACATGGTTTTCACCGTATCTTCGATATGGTGAAAAACATGTAAAACTGTTTATGTATTTATTCATATAGCTTAAGAAAAAACACAAGGGCCATTGGTGCACAATGGATGTGTGGGGAAAAAGATCTCATCAGAGCAAAGATGGGCAGAACTAGCAAAGTATTGGCCAGGCTGTCTGAGTCTGATGACACCATTAAGCAAAAAAGCCCACTGACTACCATGACCACCTAATTTACTGCCCAATCCAAGTAAAAGGGGCATTATTAATAATTGTACTGGAACAGTAAGCCAGGACTGTCCCAGACAAATCACGGCGTATTGTCACTCTACTTCAACCAACTCATTCTGGTTGACTACTCTCAGTGCAGTCTACTGACTATACCAGCAGTACATAAGGTACATTTAAAATTGTCTCAGAGTTTCTAAACACTGGGATGCTTTGTAAAACTGATATGGGTATTTCACAGCAGGCTTTATTTCCCCCTAAACCTGTGATTAATTCAATTGTGCACCTTGTGATTAATGACATCCTACAACTAGGAGCTCTGGTGGCATAGTGCCTAAGGCACTTGACTGCTAACCAGAAGGCTGGCGGTTCAAATCCACCAGCCACTCCTTGGAAGGAAGGTTGGACAATCTACTTCCATAGTGATCCTGCCTCGGAAACCCAAGGAGGAGTCATTATGAGTCGGGTCCGAGTTCACGACACGTAACAACACCACCACCACAATCAAGGATACAGATTAAATTGGTTTCCTATGTCACGTTGGCATAGGAAGAATGAAGAGATAATTCATTCATCAGGGGGCAGAAATGCCCAGTGGGCAACTGATTTCCATTGGAAAATTACAAGAAAGAATTCTGTCTTTAAACATCGGTCTCTTGTGAGTTTGGTTAGTTTGAATCCTAAGACTGGGTTCTATGTCTACAAGGCCAAAGTCTAGCTCCAGGACTGGGGTGAATTTACATTCTATTCCATGGGGATATGGCTGGGAAACACCCAGTTTGCTTTAGGGGGACAACCACGGATGTCACCATGATCTTTCCCCCATTTGAAACTTGTAGAGATAGTAAGATAAGACTTCTGGTTTAGATCTGTTGGGTTTCAAAGGCCAGTGAGACACTAAAATGGAAATGCGGCTGGAAGTAGCACTTGAATGAGATGTGTACGGGCCGTGCATAATCAGAAGAAGAAACTACTGCATGCACCACGGCCTGTCAGAAGAACAAACATATCTGTCTTAGAAGAAGTACAGCCAACATGCTCCTTGAAGAGAGGATGGCCAGATTTGGTCTCATGTACTCTGGTTGTGTTGTCAGGAGGGACTTGTCCCTGGAGAAAGACATCATGCTTGGCAAAGGAGAGGGTCAATGAGAAAGAGGAAAACCCTCACCAAGATGGATTGACACAGTGGCTGCAACAATGGGCTCAAACACAGCATGACTGTGAGGGTGGCACAGAACAGGGCAGTGTTTCATTCTGTTGAACACAGGTTGCTATGAGTTGGAACTGACTCGACAGCACCTAACAACAACAGCACCAGCAACAATATAGCTCTAGTTCAGACAATCCATAAGAGGTAGGAAGTTGACTACATGACATTACTAAAGAAATTGCAGGAGTGTAAGTAAGTTTCCCTGTTGGTGCTAAATTAGATAGACTAGTGGTGGCTCAGTGTTTGCGGCCTCTTTTGAATATAGCAGTTCTTGGGAAAATTCACTGAATAGCCACATCCAATATTTATTCAGAAGGTGGTCGGGAGGACATGGGATTAAACACAGTTCTATTGGAAGTGTTATTATTATTTATTATTAAAAATGTGTTTCTTCCACAAAATAAACAACAGTAAGATAATACATAAAATGAGAAAAATGGTTGAAAGCAACTTACTTATTTTGTCCAATTGTCTCAAAATCTTTCACAACGATTCCCAGGGAAGATGAAATGTCCAGGGGTACACCCCTCAAGTCAAACTCTATAATCTGTTCACAAAAAGTTACGAAGACAAAAAGGCTGTTAAAAAAGATCTGGGAATAAGAAGGTGCACGAGTTCAGCAAGTCAGGTCCTCATTTTACTAATGACAGTCTTTTCAATTACTTAATTTTATGGTTAGAAGTGACTAAATCCTAAGTCTAGAGGAGCTGAGGGATGTGGGAAAGCAGACCCAATTTAGCTCAGAGGCCCTGGAGGCAACTCCTGGCCTCCCATTTCCTAGGCTCTGTGGCTTTAGGCAAGTCACTGAAACCTCTGCCTTGCAGTCAGAGAATTGGACTTGATACCTATCACAATTATTGTCTAAGAATAAAACCCCATGAGTCAGAATCAACTCCATGGCAATGGGGTTTTTTGGTTTTTATATGGAAAAATGCTTTCTATAATGGTATTTTTAAATTATTGGCTCTTCTCAACCATATTATTATCAAACAAAGGAAATTAATAATCCAAGAAAACATTTTCTGAAATGCATCAGCACCTTATTTTAAGCCTCCTTGTGATCAGTGCTGTAGTCAGCTGACCGTTCTCAAAAACCAAAACCAAACCCATTGCCGTTGAGTCGGATCTGACTCATAGCGACCCCTCCTTGGGTTTCCAAGGCAATATTTCTACGGAAGTAGATTGCCCAGTCTTCCTTCCAAGGAGGGTCTGGTGGATTTGAACCGCCAGCCTTCTGGTTAGTCAATGCCAGTCTCCCATTTTAATATAACAAATTATT